TAACTGTGTTTTATGCTAAGCTAAAGGGAACAGAGTACAGGAGAATGACTGGGTTGGTACAACTTGTTCCCACTTATCTAACTTTGGGAAATAAGTCAGACAAAATTTCTATTTAGGGTGGAATGTCCCTTATAAACCTGAAGTAAGGCAGTAAAACTAGGATTGGATAAATGGTTTGTTTTTATTTTATGGGGTGAATTCTGAATCTACTGCCAGCTGCAGTTAAAGGTCTTGAGAAGTGGCTTGCCTTAAGCTGGAACATGTAAATGAGGAGGAAAATCATGAAAATGCAAAAACCACAATTTGCACATGAATCTTTCCATGTGCTTGGTCTTGTAGATGTAACTTGCAGCAAAAGGTGATTAGCATGGATTATTTTAAAGTTCTTGATGTCCTTGCTGTTCTACGGAGGAATGATTTTACTCCCAACTTTAAGGTCATGTCCTTTTCTTGTTTTGGGCTTTGGGTCGGAAACCGAGGCCGTGCAGTATTCCACGGATTTAATGCAACACAACCTTTCAGATTGAAGTCACTTTCAAAAACATAAGATGTGTGTCAGATTCTGTACCACATATGAAAGTGACCTTATCTGCATCTGAAAGAAATAAAAAGAGTTGAGCTGTTCAGTCATAAAAATTAGATCTGGGTGGCAGATGGGCAAAAAGTCAGAATCGATGCACTTTTGCCTGCAGTGTGGAAGTAGCCTGAACATATTTTAAACTAGATACATTATATTTCTTGCAGAAATACTGTTTGAATGCTGACTGCCGAAAATGTTGGATGGATCGGGATAGAGAGCTGGGGAGCTGCAAGCGGCAAGAAGAACATTTTTAGTACTCTGTGGTCCTCAACTTTAAAGATATTGGTGCCAAAATGAATAGCTGGCCATTCCTGAAAGACTTAAGTGCTTTGATAACTCATCCATGTTAACTGCTGACAAACTGTAGAAGAAGATGTACGGCAAAAAAGTAATGAAAAATCTTGAATGAAGAATAAAGAGAAACAGCAAAACTAACATCAAACAAAAAGTTCATGTGGGAGGAAGGAGAATCCAAACGTGAGAAAAATCCAAGTGAGATCCTGCAGACACCCAACAAAAAATACCCAAAACATGAAAGGCATGGAGGGCCAGAACCGAAAACACACACACACACACACACACACACACACACACACACACACACTGTCCATTTCTTAAGACAAGCCACGGCTTTATGACCTCCTGGGAGATTTGGTAGACAAATGCTGATGGAAAACTGGAAGGCTGTGCACCTGATCTGACCAGTCCAGCTGGCATGGAGACGGGCCATCAATGCAAATTGTCTTTCTACAGAATAGGAGAATATCCTTCAACACCCTCCCAAATACACTTGCACCACCCTCGACAAACACACCCTGCAGCATAATCCAGCCTTTGAGTCAAATGTGCACACTTCCATTGATTCTAATGCTGAAGAACTCCTGATGGACATGGACCACTATCCAAACTTTGTTAGCTGAAACAAATCTGAGGAGGGAGATTCTGGATTTCTAGATAGAAATAGTGAAGACAGAGAAGGTAAGAACTTACACCTTGTTTTTGTTTGATTAAACGCATCTAAATAAGGGAATAAGGAGCTATTTTCACCACTCGACACACATCTGTATGTCTGACATCAGAATAAACAGCAGATACATGTAAATATTCTGCCTGATTTCATTCTAATAATGAACAATCAGCTGTTTTTATTGGTTAAAATTGTTTCTGTTCAGTGCTGGTGTACATGCCAAATGCACACTGTGATCTTCCTGCCCCTGGCGCCTCTGTCCTAAAGGACCTGTTTGCTTACAGTTTTGAAATCTTGATATAACAAAGCACTTTATGCTGCTGGTGAGTTAAACGGATATGATGGTGTTGTAGGAAAATGAGTTGTTTCATAGAAAACTAAACTAAATTGACTTGTGTATTTTGTACTACAAGAACTTCCGTTACACAAACACATACAGTCAGTAGTAGTTGTGGGGAGTTGTTGAACAGGAAGTTGTTTACTGACCACGCAGGGAAATCGTGTGATCAAGAAATGTGCCACATCAGCTGGTTGGAAACCAAACTGGAAGTGTACTGCTACTTATGTGGGTTTGCGTTAGTCGTGTGCTGCTGCAATAGACGGCATAAAACCCATCAGCCTGTGGTTGGATGTAAAGGAATGCAAATAAGTTTGGTTATGGAAACATAAGCCTAACGTGGTCTGGAAGGGAAAAGACCGCTGCCAGGAAGAGTTTATCAGCCTTTAAATTTAGACCAGTGGACGTTCCAAAATGTAAGTCCAGTGAACGAGTACATTATCCAATAATCATTTGCTAACTGTCAGGGACCTCAGCTTATTTGAATGGTAAATTTCTATTTGAATGGTTTTGGACACAGTTGTTCGTTTGGGAAATGTTCTAGCAGTCAAAATGAGCACAGCAAAGACTTGGACCACGGGTTTCCAAAACGTGGCCCACACAGTGACTTTGTGGGGTCCTTGATTGAAAAAAATGTTTTAGGAGATACTCTGATGTAAGGCCTAAAATAAACCAATTTCAAACAGAAAAGGGAAAATGCAGTGACGTATTTGTCCTTTATTAACCCGGTTCTTTGTTTTTAATAGAATCTTCTGGTAGATAAAAATATAAATCCCTGCTGACTTTTTCTAAAAAGCAGATTTGTTCATTCATTCATAAAACGGGACTAAATCCTGCTAACTAGACTGAAGAGTGGCCAAGATCCTGTTCTTGTTGCTAAAAGTGAAAAAAAAAAAAAGTTTTCAAGAGAAGAAACTAGAAAACAATCAACCCATCAGACCCACTTCATTCAATGCTTTAGTTTATGAAGGCTCTTATGAGACTCTCTATCTTATGTTTACAAAGACTTACAGGTACGTCGGACTAGTGAGTCATCACAGCAATCCTCATAGTAAGCAAGCACACAGCGACAGTGGAGAGGAAAACTCCCTTTTAACCCTCTGGAGGTAGGCGTTGCAGACTAGCAACGTTAAAACCTACCTACCTGGTTACCCCACATACGTAATCCAAGAGCAGGTTTTAACTGAGAAGTACCCCTGAAGGACTTAGTTGTTCGTCCTTTTATCAGAACTTCTTTTGAGCCTGAGAGGGTTAACAGGAAGAAACCTCCAGAGGATCCTGGCTCAGTACAAGCAGCCATTCACCACGACTCACTGGGGATGGAGAAGACAGAGCACACACACAGTAGGAGTAGTTTCTATGTTAAATGAAGTAAACCGGTATTAGCAGGCGGGAGAGAATGTTTATAATGTAACACTGCTCTTGATGAACATAACATCTATGATAGCTTCCAGTCAGGTTTTCGTGGAGCTCATTCTACTGAAACAGCTCTTCTTAGGGTCTCTAATGACCTTCTGACTCAGTGATGCAGGGTTCTGGTTCTGGTCCTGCTGGACCTGACTGCAGCCTTTGACACTGTTAAACTGCTCTGGCGTGGTTCTCCTCTTATCTGTCTGAGCGTTCCTTCTCTGTGGCCGTCTTCAAGTTTCTGTCCACCACCACCTCCCTCACCCATGGTGTCCCACAAGGTTCTGTGCTGGGACCTCTGCTCTTCCTCCTCTATCTGCTCCCCTTTATACCATCTTTATGCAGATGGTATTCAACTGTACATCGCCTTTAAGCCCCAGGAGATGTTTAAGCTGCAGCTGTTGCTTCTCACACCAAACCTTCTGTCAGGAATCTTGGCGTGACCTTTGACCCAGCTCTCACCCTGGATTCTCATGTCAGTTCTCTTGTTGGCTCCTCCTTCTTCCATCTCAGGAACGTTGCTAAGCTGAGTCCCATTCTGTCCCGCTCTGAACTTGAGACAGTTCTCCACACCTTCATCTCCTCACGCTTAGACTACTGTAACTCTCTTTTCACGTGTCTGAGCAGAACCTCCCTGAACCGTCTACAGGTGGTTCAGAACGCCTGTGCTCGGCTTCTGACCAAGTCCTCCAAACACACCCACATCACCCCGCTTCTCCTCCACAGTGGTTTGTTTTACTGTATTGGGTGTGGGCATTTTCAGTAATTTGTCTCTTTTTCTTTTCTTTGTTTTAATACTCTTTTCACATTTTATGGCTGATATTCAGTTTTTTTCCAGCAGAGTGACAATGTGGACCAAAATAGTTTTACTGGTGACTGGAGTTGCCTTCATGCATCGGGTAGGCCATTTCCTTTCTCTGGTTCTAATCTTTTGAAATGTTTTCAGAAAACTCTCGACTTTAAACTTGGGTTTTGCTGTTTCAATGAAACCACAACAGCTAACGTTAATCCTCCGCGGACGGCTGTGCAAGCGGTCTTGTGTGTGACCTCCGTTATCACAAAGCCTTAAAGGAGTTGGCAATCAGCCTTTCATGACTTTAAACAACAAGCTCATTTACATGTAGAAATCCCGGGTTTACCATCTTTCAGCTGAACATTGAAAACGACATTTGTACCTTGTACATGATGTCATGGGATCTGTTAGCACTGATGGTGTGATGTGAACAAGTTAAAACTGGCTCGTTTCCTCTTTCATGGGCAGCCATTTTTTCATTGGATGGACTCCAAAAGGTAACCAAATGCAGAAGAGTTTGTAATCTGAGGGGTTAACAAATCCGCCCTGTGGTGCTTGTAATGCTGCGCTAAAACTAAAACAAAGACGAGAGCAAACTCATTTTTTACCTGATGTCAAAAAGCAAAAAAGAGCAATAAAGTTAACAAAATCAGTATCTGAATTTTAAATAAGACCAAATTGTACAATAATTTCACATCAATGCTAATGTTGCTATTTTTTGTTCTTGCAGGTGATTTCACAAGGTGAGAACATCAATACTAATCCCATAAATACCTTACCTGTAGGCCGTCTTTAATTCATTCTGACAGTCTGTCTTTAATGCTTTCATTCATTTGAACAAAATCATCACAGTTCCTTAATCCAGCGGGCCTACTGCATCTATGATTACCAATCGATTTAGCATCATTCTTCCCATTTTTCTCCTACTGATGACTAAGACATCTACGTTTCGGAGCTGATGGTGGAGAATAACGTCACGCTGGATGCCCAGAGGATCCTGCTGAGTTGGAATGCTTCAGTAACCCTCAACGTGACGGATAGCAGCGGTGTTTCCCACACCGTGACAATCTTCAGCAGTGAAGTGGTTGCAGGTAACGGCTGCTTTTCTGTTGTTCTAACATCACAATACATCCTCATAAGTAATGTTTGTCTTATAAATATGAACATAAAAACAGTGTGTTTCCTTTTAAGGCACTCTCACTAACATCCCATCAATATTTAAAGATTTTTTAAATGCTTGATGAAAAATTACTGGGTTTACCAACTGTTTACAACCTTTCTGACAAAGCAGAATAAACAAGTCAGAACAAAACGTATAACTCCATCCCCCGCTCTACACATTAAACATAAGATCTAATCCAGTAAAGAAATAACTGTCACACAAAAACAAAACCCTAAAAATAGTCTGCAGGAACGTTATCTAAAAACATAAACGTTGACCACACGTTATTAAATCTCCCCACCGGACCCTTCCGACTCTGACTTTCTCCAGATGTACATGAGACATGCTTTCCCCGAGTATGCTAGTGGATGAGTCCTTCTACCTCGACATTATGAGTGTTTTAGACAGGAGAAAGCTATCATGCCCAGCTGGCCTGAGTCCAAACACACCTCCACCACGACCGCTCCAAACAAAGCTAAGTGTCAGGGCGCACAGTGGTCCCACAAATCTGGGAGTGCTTCAAAAATCGACCCACAATCTATGAAAATGTGTGGCAGATGAACACTTGCCACCATCATGTGGGTCCAAGTCTGGCTTGAGTTTAGATAGTCTGACTCTGGACCAATGGAAACGATGCACCTCTTCAAACTGAACAACACTGTGTCTCACACACACACACACATGAACGTTCTTTAGAGCCTTGTGCCAGACTATTGTTGCTCACCCAGCACCCAGGCCCAGCTCTCATCTGTTTTAAAACATCCAGACTGGTCTGATGGTGTGAGCTGAGCCAGGTCTAACATTTACTCAAAACATTCTTAAATATCCGACGGTCCAAGATCTCATCCAGGAGGGTCTGAGATGGACACAGGAAAGCCTTCAGAGTCAGACTTGACAAAGTGTCTCGGTTATAAATACCTTAAGAATTGTGACTTTGACCACCAGCTGTTTAAAGGATTCAAACATGTAACCCAAACCCATCAACATATAAGTCATGTAGATAATTTATGTTTCCACTAGGCCACCCGTTAAAGACCTCTTCAGATACGGAGGAAATAAACGTGCAGTTCTTTGTCACAGGGACAGCGAATGGTAATCTGGTGAAACCAAAAGGCCGTCTCACTGAATCCCGACCGTAAACAGTCACGCTGTGTCTCCTTTAAGCTTGTTATACCTCTTTTAAGAATGAAAGTGATGGCATCCTTACGATCTAGAGTAAATCTCATCTTAGTCACTTGTTCTACAGAATGCATAGTTGTGGGCGAGGACTTTGAGTGCAACTGCACGATGGGCTACGTTTGGAGTAACGAAGTCTGCTACAACTATAACTGCTGTCTTCCAGCAACGTGCACAGCAAATATATCTCTGGCTTCATCCATCTGTGTCCGGGAAACCAACGGTGACCATCCTCCTCATGTGTTGTTGTTTGTGTTTGGTTTGTTTAGGTTTTTATTTTTAATTGAACTTTCATGTTTTCACTTAGTCTCAGTTGAAGCTAATGAGACGCTTTATAACCAACAGTTTCCATCAATGGATCAATTTCACCCTGGAATGCCATCTATACACAAACAGTACGTCCGTCTCCGTTTACACAGCAACGCTACACCACACCCGGGTAAACGGCTGCTTCTAAAGCCTTCTTTATCTTCAAAGGTACAGAACTCCTTCAGTAAGCTGAATGGCCTGAAGACTCTAACTGTCACACCAAGGAGGTTTGCCTTTCCATATCAGCTTTTCAGTTTCAACAGTACTTTCATCCACAAATGTCTGTTAGAAGTTAACGAAACAATGACAAGGTTTGCATGTTTAATCATTTGTTCAGAAAAAGACTTTTCCACTGATTTTCTCCTCATCAGCACCGCCACCATAGCTGACTTTTTGGTAAATGTCAGCGTTAACGTAAACACGTCTAAACTTCAGGAGATTCTGACTTATCTGCAAAGTTCTGTTGCCTCCAGCCAAATTTTTGTGGACACTCTGGGTTTGTAAATCTTTGTACATCCTCGCTAAGACATTGAATCTAATAATGTACCCAGTTATGTCTGAATCACTTCTATCGTCCCCTTTTACATAGGAATGGTCAACATTTACGCCCCTCCAACCCCAGTGAAATACCAGTCACTGCTCCTCCTGAACTGCACGTTGGAGGAGGCCACCGACAGCTTTGGCTGGAACCTAACCACACTGCTGCAGCGCTTTGAACTCAACAACGGCCTCATTGTGAGAATTGGTCCACCCTGTGCCACACAGGATTACCAATCCTGTACTTCAGTTACTATCTCAAATGCTACTGGCATGTATGCAGGCAAGTAAACCAGCTTCCACCCCAGAAAAACTTCTTGATTTTTTTACATTCAGGTTTCTGTGTATTTAAACTATTTTCTATTTACAAGACTGATTCTGAGATCTAGGATCCATCTTTCAAGTTCCAGTTGGTCCCCACACTCATCAACAGGATCACAAGCTGCTAATTGGATTAGCGTTCACGCTAATTATTCAACATTTATGTGCTAGCATCTTAATGACATCATGAGCTACATTTCAGAAAGACGATCAGAAAAGGCATTTCATGTTTGAGTTGTTTGCTTATAAACTGTATAATTGGGTCTTTACAAATGCAATTTTTCTGTTTTTGTGCAATTTTTTTTACATGTTTGTGTAAACTTGATTAAATCTAGAATCTAGGTCTAAAAATGTCTTGGTGCTGCCCCCTGTGGGTTTAACTGTGGCTACTGCATTTACAGTACAGTCTCCTCCCACTCCCCCTCCGTCCTGAGATGGAGATGTCCCACACTTGGCCATGCCACTCCATGGGTGTTTCTCAGTGGCCAGGCGCCTGGCCTTGCGAGGCGATGTCTAGCGAGGCCAGGCGCCTTGCTTACGAGGACACGGTCCTTCTTTGGTCAAAGAAAACGGTAAAATGCAACAGACTAGCATCACGTGGCCGCGGCTTCCACGGCGGTGACGTAACGTCACGTGACACAGGAGATAACGTTATATTTTATACGTATTAGTTTCAATATAAAAATATAACGAGCCTTTAACTTTTTAAATTGTGTATATTTTTATTAAATTAAATATTTAAGTGAGTTACTACCCGCTAGCCACCGAAACTGCAACTACTAAGCAGCTAACCAATCATAGAAAACTTCTTTGGATCTAAAAAAAAACATTTTAAATTAGCTGACTTACTTTTAAACTTGAAATTTGCCCTCAAAGTAGCTGCCGGCTTCTGATCCGCCGTCCTTTAGGACATACCGTGGTGTATTCTGGGTAATTGTTGACCAAGGCTAGGCTACAAGACACCTCTCGTGTATCCTTGCTCAGCTAGCTAAACGGCTAACAAACGGAGAACACACGCCTCAGCATAACATGAATATTGGAACACGTCTTGACGGCTCCTGATGATGTATCTCCTAGGCAACCGGGGCGGGGCCAAGACATCAAGGCGAGGTTTCTTGGCATTGAGAAACACCCCATGCCTCCTGGCAACGCCCACTTTCACAGCATTTTTCAAATGTTGACTAGGGGTGGAGTTACGTTTTCTGATGGTGTGCAGCCCCTCTTTGGGTGTGGTTATGGCATCATAGCAGCATGGCTGGATGGCTGCAGCTTGTTCAGAACCGAAACCATCTATGACAGTTTCAGATTGGACCTGCTGACTGACTGGCTAAAGCCACAATAAAGGCAGTTGTTGACTTTATACTTTTGTGTTTTCACTTTGGAAGTGTGTATTCCTCGCAGTTCCTTCCACTACTGCATGAACCAGATTTCCTTACAATGCAAAAGTAACATTCTAGATATGAATTGGTTCGAAGTGTAGTTGAATCTCTGATAGGTTCACTGAAGGGATCACGCAGCTGTCATGAACTTGTGTTCCCAACAGGCACATACGAGTGTGGATTCACCACTGGGTCAGTCAGACACACAGCGCGGGCGAGTGTGGACATCGCTCTCCTGCCAGATTCCATCAACATGAATTTTAGCCCTCTGATCGCAGACTGTCTACAGCTGACCCCTGTTACTGTTTCTGCCAGCATTCCAATAACCACCGAGCCCTACAATATCACATGGAACCAGAACACCAAAGTGATGCAGACAAATCCAACAAGTGAGACACATCTACCTTTTATTAAACGTTCCGTCTTGATGAACGGGTCAGTGCTGAAACAACCGTGTTTATGTTACAGAGAGGGACGTCTTCACGTACAACTTCACCGCTTCCATGGGCTGCACAGCAGCAAGTGAAAACATAGAGATCTTTTTTCAAAACAGACTGAATCAAACTAAAAGTGCAAACGTCAACATCCCTGTGTTACTTGGTACCGAATTCTTTAAATTAGTTTCAAAAATGAGATTTACATTTTGAAATGCTTTATTCCTAATTTTTGAAAGTCTGTCTGATCTGATGTTTCCTCTTTTGACTCCCGCTGTCTCCTGCTTTTCTGTGTGCTTTACAGTTGGGGCGTCATTTTGCAACGCTGAAAGTATTGGTGATGAGGTCTGGCCAAAAACTCCAATTAAAACATTAGTCACAAATAAAACATGCCCAGTGGGCCGGGTCGGCAACAAGACACGTTACTGTAACGGAAGCCGACTGTGGGAACCGGTGTTCTCACAGTGCGTCAGTGAGGTGCTGAACAAAGTGCAAGACGCAGCTACTGTGAGTTTTTAGCTACTTGCTGATGCTTCTTTAGCTCTGGGTGGTTAGCAGAACCCTTAACGTCACAGAGAAGCTAAATATTGACTGATGCTAAAAGTTAGACGGTTTTGATTCTGTGCTCACCATTTTAACAAACTTTGATGCATTTTTCTTATTTTTTCTAGAACTTCCTGAATGGACTTGGAGCTACCCCGGAAGTGGCTAAAAACATCTTTCAAGGTGTTAATAACAACTCCAATCCGAATTCTGGCACAGGTGACGAAGCTGACATTGGTGCTACCATCAACATCATAGGTGTGATGGCCCAAGCATCGGGAATTATGAATTTGCAAGAGGATGTCTTGCCTGTAGGTATATTTAATATTTTACTTTACTTACTACAGCTCTTTACGTGTGGCAGGGATACTATGTACCATACACAGGAGAAGAGGTCGGCGTCTTTGTTACGATTGTTCTGTGTTCCTTATCTGATTCCTTTTGGTTCTTCAGAATAAATAGAGCTTGTTTCTTCCTTTTTGCTGACATGTTTCAGCTCTCACTGCAGCCTTCGTCAGAGCTCCGGTGATGTTGGTGGCGTCACTTAAACAGAGATGGGAGTGACGCCACCAACATCGGCGACACTCTGACGGGATCACACAAGACGGGCTTATGGTACTGGCAGAAGGGGAGGGTTGACACGGGTTTTACACTGGAAGCATCGGCGGTACGAGACGGCAGCAGATTGCTTTACTCGCCAACTCCAAAGCGGTCCTTTTGGCACCGGGACAGTCTCGGCAGCAGTACGGCTTCCTCGCTGTTTTCTTCTCTGGACTAGTGAGATTACAAGATCCCTCGAGACTTCAGATCACGGTTTGTTTATACAATCCGCCATTAAACTATAAAACAGAAAAGAAGGAAATCACGTTTGACATCGCTGTTTGATGTCATATATGATGTTGTTCCTCTCCACGCTTTCCCAAATGGACAACCCAGCCTAACGGCACGTTTCCTCGTCTGGCAGAAAGAGACGAGCCGTCACCAATCAGTTACAAATAAAATATGTTTAGCAGAAATATCTGGAGGGCAAAAACTCTTGTGAGGATTCTTCTTTAAAACGTTTAGTTCCAGACCTCCGACTACTCTGAACTCTCCTGACAAAACACTCAAACACAGTTTTGTTTTATTTCATTCTGTTATAGGATCTAATCAACGCTGCTAGCAACATGGTGAACTCGTCCTGGGATGGGGTAAATCAGACCGTTCGTCAAAGCATGTCATCAAATTACCTTTCTTCTATGGAGAACCTGGTGAAAAACATCCAGTTCAACGTGAGTGATGGATACAACAGCACCAACCTGGAACTAAAGCTGTGTACAAGCGAAGACTGTAGTCTGTCTCTTTTTGGCGTCGACGTGTCTCTGAACAAGACCAACGGGACTATGAAAAGCCTCGGTGTGAGAAATTTAATGGACAAAATGACATTTGATCAAAATTTCAGCAGCATCTTGATCTCAGCCACCCTGGTGAACAACAACGATTCAAACATTACAATAAAAATGAACTTTCCTGTTGAGCAACCGGGTTTTACAACTTTTTCGTGTGTCTTCTGGAACACCGTCAACAACAGTTGGTCCACTGATGGATGCCTCGCCAACCTTACAGGCGGTAACGAAACTCTCTGCGAGTGCCACCACCTGACGTCCTTCTCTGTCCTCATGGCCAAGAGTGCCAATGTGTCTAATCCTAATCTGGACATGATCACATACATCGGCCTTGGCGTGTCCATTTTCTCCCTGCTCCTCTTCCTCCTCATTGAGTATCTTGTGTGGTCGGCTCTGATAAAGACGAACCTGTCCCATTTCCGTCACACAGCTGTAGTGAACATCGCTGTGTTCCGTTTGCTTGGTGACTGCAGTTTCTTGGCCTCCATCTTTCCCGAACAGCTCAGTGAAACCATGTGCCTAACCTTCACCGTGTGCAAACACCTGTTTTACGTGGCCATGTTCACCTGGATGTTGTGCCTGAGTTCAATGCTCGTCCACCAGCTCATCTTTGTTTTCAGTCCCTTGAGGAAAAGAGTCTTCATGTTTTTCTCCAGCATCGTCGGCTACGTCGTCCCCATCCTAATCGTTGGGTCCAGCTACGTTTATTACAAATACACCAACAAGAGCTACTATGACAGAAAATCATGCTGGCTAATATATGAATCTCTCTTGAAAGGCTCCATTCATGCTTTTCTCCTTCCTGTGTTAACCATTACTTTGACGAATCTCTTTTCTATGGCGGTTGTCATCCTTACCTTGGTGAAGACCTCGGTGCCTGATGGAACCAAGGCAGATGAAAAGGAGACGGCCAAGAGCATTCTGAAAGTGGTGGTCCTTCTAACGCCTATCTTCGGAGTAACGTGGAGCCTTGGCTTCTTCCTTTACACGCTGAACAGCACTGACCCCATGTTCATGGTTGTTAACTACCTTTTCACCATCCTCAACTCTTTCCAGGTAATTTGATACCAGTTTTTGCAATAAGCTTAAAATTAGACGCATCAATGTGATTCCCTGTTTCGGATAATTCCAGTGCTAAATACGGATCCGTCCAGCTCTGAGTGTAACTAATAAGGTTCAAACTAAAGCGGGGTCATAACTGAAATGGAGACGAATGTTTTAAAGAAAATCCTTTGCAGGATATTTTAGATGGAAATGTGTTGCACTTTATTTTTTCTCTTTCAGGGTTTTTTCATTTTGGTGACAGGATGCCTCGCTGAGCAGAAGGTAGGTTTGTCCTTTTAACAATAAGTACACAATACTGGAAGTCACTAAAGCATAGCTTGTAGCGCACAGGACAGAAATGTCCTGAGGCTCTAAAGAAAACCATGACTACGTTATTTGGTGGTTATTGTCCCAGTCCATGCAATGATATTGCTATTGTCGCTCACAATTTTACTATTTTGTGTTTGTTTTTACATTTTTGTTATGTTATCAGGTCAGAGATGAGCTATATAAACTCATTATGGTATGTAGTTTATCAAGAACTCAAGATCAAAACATAAAACATTGGAAACATGTAAAATAACCTATTATGACTCTGAATTCAGGCTAAAACGGGACGGGAAACGGACAGCATGCAGAAACTGACTTCCACTACCTACACCAAAGACAAATGATGACAAAGGTCAGTTTGATCATTTGTCTTTTGTATTCTGCATTAAGTTAATCATTGCCAGGGTTACTTAACATGGGAGTCAATGAGGATTTGCTCGCTTCTGACACCAGCCCCCAGTGGATGAGGGTGGAACTGCAATTTTTGGTACTTCCGGGTTGGCCTCAATTTTTGAGCCGCATTGTGGGGGCTTGGTCCCAACACAGAACCCTGGGGAACACCCCTGAGAAGGTGCGAGAAGGCAGACCCACTCGTTCTGAAGCTAACTGTTTTAACGCTAAAGTAAAACTTTGTCCTACAGTGCAGAACTATCACCTTAGAGCAGGGGTCCTCAACTATAATGGTCCGAGGGCCACTCACAAAAAAGACCCAGAAGCAAGAGGGCCGGGGGGGGGGGGGGGGGGGGGGGGGGGGCATCACAGCGCTCTGCTGGTTCAGTGAGTGGAATGCTACTGTGACTGAGCGAAACTACAAAGATGGCAGTGGCTAATTTGAAACCTTTTGGCATCAACTTTGGACTATTTAGACTTTGGGACAAGAGCAGATAGAGGTACTTTATCCTTTATTTAGAAGAAGGATGCACTGGTGTCGGCAGCGTATGGCAGACGGTCCTGTTTACCGACATCTGTAGCGGTGAGAGCTGATGTTGGTGGAGAACATTTAGAAAGGTCTACACCCGTGATCTCCAGCTCCCTTCCCTGAGGGCCGGTGTTCAGTGATTATTAGGCTTCTGCACAACTTGATGAACATGCGAATCAAGCATGTTGGATTAGGGAAACATCTAAAACATGCTGGATACGGAGTTGGGGATCTCTGGTCTGCACTGTGAGCAGATCAACAAAGAACGCATTTCTGCAGACATCAGAGACGATCTCTCGTCTGTGGCACAATCTCCGTCCAACGCTCAGCTGTTGTCCGCAGCTTGTGCTTTTCAAGGTTTCTCATAACAACCTTTAGGTTCTTCATTTGGTTTAATTCGTTTTTATTTGTGCTTTCCAGGAAGAGATGGCAGTATGTCATGTCTGCAGCTCGTCTTAGATACCACAAGAGGAAGCTTCTTGAAGTTTGTGGTAGAATGTTGTCCTTAGACTGTTAAACACACGTAGATGGTTTTTCATGGAGGAACGTTATCTAAGGTTTGTCTAATAGAGCACTGATGTGGACGTTTAGAGGTAAAGTAATATTTGCTGATTAAACAGAAGTAATGCTTGTCCGTATCAGCTGGCGATGCTCCTCATAGGAATGAATTGTTTTTATAGGCATTTTATTTTCCTTAACACCATTTATAGATAAAGTTCACATGTATAGATGTATAGGTTTAATGTCTGGCTCGAAGTGCAAACATACAGTATCACTGGACCTTTTCACATATTCTAACGTCATGCTGACTGTAAATAGCTTTGAGCCGTTCATTTAAAGACAAATCTGTAAGTTTATATAGTTTTACATGAATTTAACGCCGTATATGATGTTTGTGTAAGCGTGTACGTAGCTGAATGATGTCATGAAATAAAGATGTGAATAAAGAATAAGTCACATTATTGACTGGCAGCCTTCAGCAGACGTGAAATAACTCTAATAAGAATAACGATGACTTTTATGACTCATGAGTGCATTTTATAAAAGGAACATTTTCACATTCAGAGGAACCGGGAATCTTCTAAAATGTGTTTGTTTGAGTTTTCTTGATGACGGCGAAGATGACCAGTGTCAGAACGACAGCTCCTGCTGCTCCACCAATGAGAGCTCCCAGAATCCCTCTGTCAGCGTGCATGACCTCGCACCGTGACCCCACGGAGAAAGCTGCCTGGCTTGTTTCACATCTAAAGAAACAGAGGAGATTTAGTGGAAATTATGTGTTTATGATCAGTCAAGATATGTTTATTTAGACTCAAGGAGCTCTTTGTGATCTACAAGAACAGGGTTGGACCAGCGGGAGACCGTCATGAAGATAAGATATCACCAAAAGGATTTTCTCCGCCCTCATCCTCGACAGCCTGACATAAATGCTGCTGGTGTTAAATACAGAGAACGTATTAAAATTAGGATTATCAGGAAAATCCATCTGCTAAATGAGGCGTGACCTCTCAGATTTCCTGTTTTCCTGTGGAGGAAGAGAAGAAGAAAATATCATTTCTATAGCGCCTCCTAAGATAAAAATCATCATTTAGCGACATGAGAGAACGCAGGTGAAGGGGTCCTGGACAGAACTTGGCCCACGTTCATCCCTGATCCATTCTGAAAGAAAGCTGGATCAGCGTGGGGAGGTTTGCTGCATGTGGACAGGGTGGTGAGAACTTTACAAGAACTCAGGCCCCAGGTCATAGATATACGGTGTCAGCAGGTTCTCCAGCGTTCCATCAATGACCCCGATGTCAGCTGTAATGTTCTCAACATGCATCCAAAGAAGACCACACTCAGCCTCAGAAAACACCATCCAAGTTCCTGCTGACGACCATCTTTATCTGGTGTCAGCGAGCCTAAGAGGGTTTGTCCGCAGTAAAAGAGAACATCTGTAAATGTGGTAATAAAAACAAGAGGAGGAAATAATCATGTAGTAAAATCTGCATCACATTCAAAAGAAAACACAATCAGTTTGAAACATTGAGCTGTTTTGTTGCCATCGTAAGACCTTTAAATGGAACTTAGACAGGCTTGCTTTAGCGCCATCTGATGTTTGTTTAGTAAAGCCGGAAGTGAAGCCTATCTCGTCGCCATGCATTCCTTTTTTTAACAGCGTAAAGTAGCTGTCCAGATTATTTCTTTTGTCTGTTGGCATCACTAGCGAAACCAATCAGAGCCGGGCGGGGGGCGGAGCAAATGACGGACCCTTTAAACCCAAACAATTAAGTTTATGATGACATGACTTTAGCAGGGGAGGCCCGTGTATTTGGGACCTGCAGTGCTAGTTTACTGACATAATATGATGTTACAACGGTGGCGGACTGGCCAGCTGTGAATCCCCCCCCCCCCACCCCCACCCCCACCTGTCGAAAATCCCCGGGCTGCAGGAATGTCCAGCCTCCCATGCAGTGCTTTAACCCTCCCACTGTCTTTATGGGTGACGCAGCGAGGAACGTTGACCATTGGGCAGGATTGATGGTTTATCCCTTAAGGTCCACGTGGCAGGGGTGAGGTGGTGCTCACTCTTCAGCCCTGCCACACGGACCCAAGTGATACACCATCAGTCCTGCTCAGTGGTCACCCTTCCTCGCGGGGTCACACCCATTAGGACAGTGGGAGGGTTAATGGGACTGGTATGGCCACTTCTAATTTTGAGTTTTTCTGGTCATTTATTGTCGAAATTTCCAATAATATAATGTATTTCCATGCTTTCGTTCTTTTTTAAACACAGAAACAGTTTTGTTTACCTGTTTGTAGCTACGGTTTTGCCGACAGCTGCCGGCTTCTTCAGGCTGACGCTGATGGTGGCGCGTCACTTCCTTCTCCGTTTATCTGCGGGCAGCAGAGGACGTTGTCGCCCTCTACTGCCCGCTCTCCCCTCTCCGACGATGCAGTCCCATGCGTGGTCCAGCGTGTAAACTCCGTCGTCCCTGTTCATGGTCCCACATCCACGTCTCCTTATCTCGATTGCTTCCTTGATCCATCTTTTGTATTTTTGTTGTTCGGTGGTTATGATCCGTGTGCTGTCCCAGTCCATTATATGGTTTTCTCTTAAGCAATGATCTGTTACGGCTGACTTTTTTATTGTACTTTCTGCTTCTTCTTTTGCTGCTCTTGTGTGTTTATGATTTGCCTCTTTCTCGCACTCCTTTCTGTGTTCTATTGTCCGTGTATTGAGTTGGCGTCCGGGTTCTCCTATGTATGTTTTATTGCATATTTTGCATGGGATTTCGTAGACGACTCCACATTTTTGTCCAGCTGATATTTTGTCTTTTGGGTGCACTAGTCTGTTTCTAACTGTTGTGTATGGCTTTGTTGGTGTGTTTATGTTGTGTTTTTTCATTGTTGCTCTTATTTTTTCCGTTATGCCTCTGATGTATGGTAGGGTTATCACTGGTTTTGGTTCTTGTCTTTCTGGGTTTCTGGTTCTTCTTTTGGGTTGTTCTTTTCTTTCTGTTGTTGTTTGTTGTTTTCCTTTGTTTATTGCCCATGTCGGGTATCCGCAGGTCTTTAAAGCGTGTTGTATGTGTTTGTCCTCTTGTTTACGGTCTCTCTCTTCTGTTATTATGTTTGCTCGGTGATATAATGTTCTGATTACTGACATGTTGTGTATGGTGGGGTGTTCTGATGTCCATAATAGATATTGGTCTGTGTGTGTTGGTTTCCTGTATGTGTTTATGTTTAGGGTCCCGTCGGTCTGCCTGGTGATTTTCATGTCCATAAATGCTATGCTGCCTTCTGTTTCTGACTCATAAGTGAATTTTACATACATAAACAAAACACCCCACTTAGACCAATAGTTGACAGCATAGGTACACCAACATACAACATGGCAAAAGATATCAGCAGAATCATCAGCCCGTTATTAGGAAATACAGACCAACACTGCAAAAATAGTATAGAATTGGCAAAAGAACTAAAGGAAATTACAATAGAAGACAACGACATACTCATCTCACATGACGTCACATCTCTGTTCACAAAAACACCAACCCAAAAAACCATAGACATAGTAGTTAACAGAATCAGACAAGACAAGACTTTACACAAAAGGACAAACCTCACAGCAGATGACATAGCACAACTGATAGGACTGGTAGCTAACTCCACTTACTTCACATACGACACAATATACAAACAACTAGAAGGCTTCGCCATGGGTAACCCGTTATCAGCCACCCTGTGCCAGTTTTTCATGGAAGACCTGGAACAAAAAGCCATAGCCACTCCCACCCCCCCCAAACTGCAAAATAAAACTATGGAAACGCTACGTAGACGACATACTGGAAATCATACCAAAAGGTCAAACAGAAACACTAACACAACACTTAAACAATATTGACGACACGGGCAACATAAAATTCACTTATGAGTTAGAAACAGAAGGCAGCATAGCATTTATGGATATGAAAATCACCAGACAGACCGACGGGACCCTAAACATAAACACATACAGGAAACCAACACACACAGACCAATATCTATTATGGACATCAGAACACCCCACCATACACAACATGTCAGTAATCAGAACATTATATCACCGAGCAAACATAATAACAGAAGAGAGAGACCGTAAACAAGAGGACAAACACATACAACACGCTTTAAAGACCTGCGCATACCCGACATGGACAATAAACAAAGGAAAACAACAAACAAAAACAGAAAGGAAAGAAAAACCCAAAAAAAGAACCAGAAACCCAGAAAGACAAGAACCAAAACCAGTGATAACCCTACCATACATCAGAGGCATAACGGAAAAAATAAGAGCAACAATGAAAAAACACAACATAAACACACCAACAAAGCCATACACAACAGTTAGAAACAGACTAGTGCACCCAAAAGACAAAATACCAGCTGGACAAAAATGTGGAGTCATCTACGAAATCCCATGCAAAATATGCAATAAAACATACATAGGAGAAACCAGACGCCAACTCAATACACGGACAATAGAACACAGAAAGGAGTGCGAGAAAGAGGCAAATCATAAACACACAAGAGCAGCAAAAGAAGAAGCAGAAAGTACAATAAAAAAGTCAGCCGTAACAGATCATTGCTTAAGAGAAAACCATATAATGGACTGGGACAGCACACGGATCATAACCACCGAACAACAAAAATACAAAAGATGGATCAAGGAAGCAATCGAGATAAGGAGACGTGGATGTGGGACCATGAACAGGGACGACGGAGTTTACACGCTGGACCACGCATGGGACTGCATCGTCGGAGAGGGGAGAGCGGGCAGTAGAGGGCGACAACGTCCTCTGCTGCCCGCAGATAAACGGAGAAGGAAGTGACGCGCCACCATCAGCGTCAGCCTGAAGAAGCCGGCAGCTGTCGGCGAAACCGTAGCTACAAACAGGTAAACAAAACTGTTTCTGTGTTTAAAAAAGAACGAAAGCATGGATTTACAAAGACACAGCAAGAACACACCTAAGATATAATGTATTTGTCTGTCCTCAAACATCAGCCATCCACATCCATGCAGCACTGCCACTCCAGATACGCCAGACTGGCGCTCCATGACAGGCTGCATTTTGCACATAGGGCGAATCACTGCTGTGAGGCGCACTGCACGTACAGCACCTTCAGTCCAGGCACAGGAGAGGAACAAAGAGATGCACGTTCCCGCAGCAGCATCTGACCAACCACTGGTTAAATGCACCAACAAGCAGGTATCCATGGAGCTGGAAAGATGGCATCCAAACAAAAATGTAGTTATAATGTATCGATTAAGAAGTCAGGGAACGGTTCATGGACGAAATCACCATTATAAATGGTTTGGATCTATGTGAAAGACCCGAGACCGGAACACCGACGACAACTTGTTGCTACCGCAGCTCTGACATTTTTGGCCATTTGTTTGAGGTGTGAGCGAGTGGATGTAAACGTCCGGACAAAATGTAAATGATCCATTCGCTGGTTGTTGGGTTAAAAAGCAGAAATGTAACCCGTTGTTAGGAACCAGGGAGCAGAGACAATAATCCTGACACTCTGACTTTAACCCTCTGGAGGCAGGCGTTGCAGATCAGCAACGTTAAAACCTGCCTACCTGGTTACTCCACACACGTGTTTCATGATCATTTCTTTACTCAGACGTACCCCTGAAGGACTTAGTTGTTCGTCCTTTTATCAATACTTATTTTGAGCCTGAGAGGGTTAACCCATTCATCTTAAAACGTGTTAAAAATCCATCATTTCTTTCATTTATCTGCCCAGAAGCATGACTTTTTCAGGAAGCACAAGAATAAGAAACGTGTTAATGGTACGGATATTTTTAGAAGTAGCAACGACGTCGCTTGTGTAGCGTCAATGAGCGGCTGAGAGCTGCGCGTTCCCGCGGCAGAGCCGAGCTGAGATCAGGTGTCCGTGTAAATGAAGTGGTTATTGCTTTCTGATGTGGGTGTGGAGCCAGCTTCACTCAGCTGCTGAGGCTGCTCTGAGCAGAGGCCTCAGCGAGCAGCAGCACTGTTACGTTTAACTGGCACACGCAGAAATGTGTGTTTTGAGTGTGACAGGGCGAGTGTCACTGTATCCTGACTGATCATGTGCCCTGGCTACTTGGCCACGGGAGTGTCCCTTTGGCTGAGCGGTTAGCAAGTGTGACCCTCACTTGGGAGTCTGGGGATCCAATCCTGCCCGGGCCCTTGTTTCTCCACCTTGCCACATTAGCATAGTTTTCGCCTAGTCTCGGCTTGTTAATGAAAACTCCCGTTCCTCTCGTCGTGTTTTAGTCACCAAAGAGCTGTTTTTACCTCGTCAGCATCTCATTTTCATTATGAAGAAGAAGAAAATATCATTTCTATAACGCCTCTCAAGATAAAAATCACGAGGCGCTTCACAAAAACAAAAAAAAAAGTAAAAATATAAAAAAGCATTTAAAAATGTTTAAAAATATATTTAAAATGAGCAAAAATTAGAATGGAAGCAAAAAAATGAAAAAACAGGGCATCAATGAAATCAAGTCGTCATTGTTTTCGTCAAAGAAAACAACATTGGTTTGTAGCCTATGTGTGCGTGTTGTGTGTGCTTGTCACGAACGATGAGTATGTTTAAAAAACGTACACCATCCGTATCTCACCAGAATGACAATTCTCTGGAAGGTGATGTTCGGTCGCCTTACAGCTGCAATCCAAGCGATTTGATGAGACTTTGTTACGTTTGATACTTGGGTCTCCGTGGTTTTGCCTCCAAGCGGAAAAGCAGTGAGAAGTTAGCATTTTTCCACCTTCATTCCCCTGGCGATGAGGTTGCACCCAACAACACAGCAACGATTTACCATGGTTGTGTAATATAACCATCAGATGATTGATAGATTAAATAAAGCCGCAATATCGAGATTATTTGTGAAATCCACTGAAATGATTAATTAAATGCTACTCTTTAGCGCCATGCAGTTCAGCTACGGTGGCCCACTCAAAAGGCAACAACCTCCAACTTAGCATTAGCTTGATGGTGTTGTCAATTTCCAATGTCTTTAGCCTAACCCACACAAAGCGTCCAAATACTCGACCAGTTAAAAAAATACATTTCTAATTATGCCATGGTGGAGATGGACATCGCTAGCTGCTGGTTAGCCATGGCTAGCAAAGGAGGGTTGGCTGGAGCGCTGTGTATGCTGTGTGTAAACTCCCACGGATTACCAGCCGAAGGAGACCCACGTCTAAAGTTAACGTTTGAGAAGAAGCCCTCGAAGAAGGGTGTCATCTGTAACGCATGGAGAATTACATCGCTGTTAATAAAGTGTTTGTGGAGATCAAGTAAACTACGCTGATTTAGCCACTGGCCAGCGGACGAGCGCTGGAGCGTGTTGGGAGAGATGGCAGGCTGCAGGAAGAGACTTGAGTAGGAGGACTTTGGAACAGACACGTTGAGACCAGATCGGGAGTTCTGGTACTGAGAAAAGAAGAATGAGCAACATGGGGTGAGTTAGGGATTCAGGGACACCGCTAGGAGGCTGGTGTCCAGCTAATAGTGGGCAGGCTCTTAACTATGCAGCTTCCTAGTGTTGGACATGATGATGAACTGACAAATTTCATGTGTCTTTCCATTGAATTGTTTATTATCAAACTAACAAGTACAGCAACGGTGTAGCTAGCTTCTTCTACCTCTTCTTAGTTGAAGACTTCGTGCTCCCAGGGCGCAATGCTGCCCTCTGCTGGTTCTTTCAGATTACAGTCATAGTCCAAACAGGTAACGTGGAGCTCGTATGTCCCTAAACAGCTACTGTATTTCAAGATGGTGGATGACTACGGAGCATCAGCCACAGTTTATGTTTTTAAAAATGTAAAAATTCAAGCTGTGAAGAATATTTAGAATTGATGTTGGTGACAAATGTTAGTGAAAAAGGACACATTTGTGACCTGGAAACAGGATTTATAGTCAACAGGTAAAAATATCACACACTGGGCCTTTAAATATGAAATCAATCAGAATAAAAATCCCAGAATCCAAATCAATAATGATGCACCTAAAAACTAAATCCTTGCTCCGTGTATAATGCACTCTGTTGTTTTTTAACCAAAAGTTGACACGCACATAGATCTTAATCATGGAGGTTAAAGTATCTTTGAGTCACTAACCTGCAGCTGAAGGTCCCTGCACTCTCCACACACAGGCCTCCATTAAAGCACGGGTTAGGGTGACAGGCGTCAGCAGCACGCGCTTCTCTGGGTTTCGGATTGTTGTGTTTCACTTCCACCTCTTCGACTTCCTCCTCATCGTGCGTTTTCATGTCCGGTTGGACTGGGACCTCTGTCTGGATCAGGTGGGTCAAATCTAAGAGAATATTTTACAGATTATTTCACAGAAGTACTCCAGCAGCGATATGTGTATTTTTATGTTGTAACCGTTGAAGTCAGCTGTAATAATGAGGTCGTCATTTTTTAGGAAGCTTCTTCTTTTTAGGTGATTGTGAGAAATGAACGTCCTCCAGCCAAAGTCGGGACCACGGAAGCATCGGCAGCTTTCGTCCCAAACGGCTCCTGAAGAGGCCGTCGGTTTGTTCCAGCGAGCATTCGCGTCTAGAGGGCAGAACAGCCAGAAAAGGATGTTTTATGTGTTTGACTTCCTGAATGGAAGCACTGATACAAACACGCAGTTCCAAAATAAAACTGTCTAGTAACAGGAAATGGAGGAGGAATGTTCCGGGGAAGCCAAAGCCGGTTCTTCAGGGTAACAAAAGTGTCCCTGGGAGAAACTCAGAGCGATGGATCCATAGAACAGCTCATGGAATAAAAGACAAGCGAGGATGACATGGAAGCAGAAAAGTTTAAAAGCAGTGGAACATGTTTTGTTTTGCTCTTTTAGACATTTTATAATCAGAAAAACGTAGAAATGTGCAAGAAAAGTTGCTTCAATAATGTTTAAAATCTACAAAGAAGCTGAAATCCTGAGAAAAGTAAGTAAAGTTGACTTTCCCAAGTTATGAAACACAATTTTATTCATTTCTCAACACTTTGACATCTTAGTTTACCAAAATGAAGAAATAAAAATGACTTCACGTCCTTTTTAATCACATTTTCAGTCACGTCTCAGTTAAGCAGCAACAAATCCTGCTTTTATTCTGCTTGTGCCTCGGCTTCAGTCTCAACCAAACTTTGTAGAACAAAGTTATCTCTTAGCCTAAATGTTCCATAACCTTCACATAGCTAGCTGCTAACCCGAAATGCACTAAAGTCAGAGGAAACACTGCAAGCTTAGTAAGTCTGATAAAACCTGAATCACTGAGCTGAAGAACGATTGTAGCTCAGTAGGGACTCACCTGTTGTGAAGCTTCTTGTGGAGGACATCCTTAGTTTAACATCTGGATCCTGGTCCATCACAACAGCGGTGACCTGTCTGTTTTCTACTGGCCACTGCATGACTGCATCGTTTTCCCCGCTGCAGAGGTGCAGGAAGATGCCAACGTAGTCTGAGTAATTACTTTCTCTTCCATTTGGGTAAACACTGATACCAAAAGAGTAGCCCTCCATGTTGTAGAAGCATTTGCTTCGAAGAAACGTGCCAACAGGAGTGGTGGTAAGAAAATGGGTAAAGTTACGAAGCTGCCAAACAAGACTTGGGCAGACAGTCTCGGTGAGGGTGATGTCATCAATCAAAATGGCACCTGAGGAGTTGGATGATCCCCTGATTCCTTGGAAGAAATAACGGAATTTTTCTGTCACTTTCAAAGTAACATGGGCTATTTTCCAGGCGTCATCTCCATCACCTGGAAGACACAAAGAAACATGTTAGACTGTATGCTGACGACTGAAGGATCTACCAGCTCTAAATGCTACATGGGCAGAGAATGCTGTTCATCATGGCGGAACAAGATGGTGGCGATGCAGGGATGTGTTTGACTCGTTTGTTTACTGAGGACCTGAAAGATTCAAAATAGTGGAGAGACTGGCTGCTAACCTGTAAGAATACAAATATCCTGATGGTAGGAGTGTTGGACCTGCTGGAGACCAGAGGACTCCAGCGGGGGCTGGAGTCTCCACACCGCCCCCATCTCAGGCACTGACAGAGTTAACATGGATTGTCTAAAATAGTAAAAGTCTGATGTTTCAGCGACGTTTAAGGCTGAACTGAAGGATGCCCTGGCAGAAGACTTTGCCTGCGAGCGATGAAAAACGAGATGACAGTGCCCGTTCGGCCACTGAGCAGGTCGGAGTAAATAACATCGATGTCAAGGGCGATTTCTCAGCCCTGGTCGAAGAAGGTGGTTTCCCCACAGAACGCGGTGGATGAGCTGCAACTACAGGAGGTGCTACATCTGGAGAAGGAGCCATTGGTGTACAGCGTTTGTCGTTGAAGAAATTATTTCTTTTTTTTGTCATGAATGCATTTTTGCAAACAAAAACTTGAATTTGAACACCTGTAGAGACTAAAGCAGCGGTACTCAATAGGCGGCCTGTGGGCCAGGTCCGGTCCCCCCAACCACACGTGCACATCCCCAATGGGCTGACTTAATGGTGAATAAAATTTAAAAGAATTTTAGTCAAAAGACTAAATTCTTGTGAAAACCCCTTACTGGTTTTAATAAAGTACCAACTTCCTGTCATTTAAGTGAAAAGTACCTGTAATGGTGAGGATCTTCTTGACATTTCTCACCGTCCCTGTTCCATCATCAGTCCTGATCCATAACACCAGCTGGTCCCCGGCCGCTCCAGTCATCCTGTAGAAGAACTGCAGACACTGTTCGTCTCTCTTCGGGTAGAGGATACGTGACTCCAGCAGGGCGCTGCTGCCTGCTGCACCAGTAGATGTGTCAAACTTCATAAAGTAGCCAGAATCTAAAAGAAATGATGGTGAGATGATGAATTATAGTAATACTAACTTTATTTATGCATTTCCATGAGAATAATTATTGGTATAAATCAGTGACAAAGTCATCAACCCTGATATGAAGAGACTCCAGTGCCACTGCAGTTTTCTCTGTACCTCTGCAACGGCCTGCTAGAGTGTGATCTGCATCACTTGGACTGCTCAGGATCTGAACCCAGTCTGCATTGTCCTCCTCGTTTTGGATCATTCCACAGATGTCTATCTGTTCAAAAGAGCACTGGTCCAGGAGAGTGAGGGTGTTGGCTGAAACAGATAAGAAAGTTCCTCTTTAGCCAAATGAGGACAAACCCGTCTACACATTTTGTTCAACAGTATTTGGCTCGTCTTCTGTACTGCAACACCCTCATAGAATTTGGATGGTCATGTTTCTGTTGTCGTTCTGCAGCTAGAAATGTGGAGGTTGTTTGGCTCAGGCCTTACACTTGTAAACCAGATCAGCTCAGTGGTAAAGATAGTTGTTTCCAGCTGAGACTCCAAAGCACAATTAAGGCCATCATCCACGTTTTAATATCCTGTCGCCTGGACTACTGCGATACGCTGTATGTTGGTTTACCAAACACAACTAGTAATTGCTTATGTTCAGAATGCAGCTGCTCGCCTTCCGACAGGGGCGACAAAGTATGAACACATTACTCCTGTGCTGGATGAGGTTCACTGGCTCCCTGTGTACACATAGATAAAACAGGTTCAGATAGGCTATGAGAGCAGCCAATCCAGGTGCGTGCCTGCGTGCGTTTTGGAACAAGCGCGTAAGTTAATTTACCTCTCTACCTTCAGTGCTTGCTGGTCTCAAAGGCACCAAAATGCCAAATCAGTGGGTCGGTTTCCAGCAAACAGAGCTACAACTTTCTCCAAGTTGGTTTCCATCTACACGCGAGTTTGAAAGTGCAGCCAGATTATTGCTCAGAGCCTCTAGTTTACATGTCATTCAACGTCTGCGTAAGAGGGTTCATGACATAAAGCTTCTCTGAGCTCAAGAGACCTGCCAATAGCTTCTGTCAGGAGCCTGTCTGTCCTGCCACGATTGTATGTTCTGGTAGGAAAACTAGGATTGCCTGGACCTGCTGCCTACACCGAATATGGCCTTGGCTTCTAATGCCATGGAGAGTGGAGGCAGTGGTTGATCCCGTTTTCCCTCCTGCGCTTTGTTGCCTGGGTGGAGGAGCACATTTTCTTGCTGGTTCCCTCTCACAGCCTTTACACGAAGATTCGGATTCAGACGACTCCAATTTGGAATCTCTTCAGCATCCAAACATTTTCGGTGGAGAGTTTCTCAAATCGTTGCCTCCGTACCAGGAGTGCTGTGTCACACAAATGACATCTTGGTGTTTGGGAAAGACAAAGTCGAACATGACAACAGACTGTGTGCAGTTCTCAAGGAGTTTGAGAGGGCAGGGCTGGCCCTAAATGAAGAATGTGTGTTTGGGGTGACTGAAGTAAAGTTCCTGGGACATAAAATAAGTGCTCATGGAATCAAAGCAGACTCAGACAAAGCAGTCCTCAAGACGCCGGAGCCACAGAATGTCGAAGATGTGAGAAGGCTTATGGGGATGGTAAACTATGTTGGCAAGTTTTCCCCACACCTACCCAGCCTCACGAAACCTTAGAGAGACCTGCTGAAAGAGGGTGTATGGACATGGGATGAGCAGCAACCGTCGGCTTATGAAGTGGTGAAAAAAGAGCTATGCTCTCTGACACTTTTTGCTCAGTAAAACTCAGGGAGAGAGACTCTGATTTCAGAAGCAGTGCCATGTGGTCTAGGAGGAGTACTGATGCAGAGACAGCCAGATGGAAATTTCAAACAGGCGTTGTACACATCCAGAAGTCTAACAACCGCAGAAAGTCGATATGCCCAAATTGAGAAACGGGCTTCCTGCTATCATGACAGAATCGACCAGCCAAACGTCCCAATCCATGAACGAATCACTTCCGCCTTCATTATCCAACACTTTAGTCTGGCACGAAAATTCCATTCAGTCCATCATGGAACAATTACTCATCACCAATCAGTGCCTGCTCCAGCTTGACACGGCTTTTCGCCAGTTAAACATTCCTCCGTCCACTGCTGCTACCTCCGCCGACAAGGAAACAGAGCCCACCACTATTCTGCCACACTCCTGCATCGTGGGTTCGGTCTCCTGGGACATCACAAACAAGGTCTTGGAGGCCAAACGGACAGACCCCGACCCAGGTACCGGACCTCCTAACATGACCTATGTTCCTTCCAGTGTCCGCATCTCTGTGATTCATTGGGCCCACACCGCCTAATTTTCCATCCACCCTGGCATCGGCAGGACCCTTGCTCTCATCCGAAGAATGTTTTGGTGGCCATCTCTTTACAGGGACGTCAGGGAACACATCAACGCCTGTCAGGTCTGTGCCAGGAACAAAAGTGACCATCAGCCCCCTCAGGGTCTTCTATGCCCACTGCCAATCCCCTCACGTCATTGGTCCCATATCGCCTTGGACTTCGTTACCGGGTTGCCTCCTTCCAAGGGTTTCACTGCCATCCTCACAATAGTGGACAGGTTCTCCTAGGCTTGCCACCTGGTTCCCCTACAGCATCTTCCCACTTCCGTAGAAACCGCCAACCTCCTGGCAGACCATGTTTTTCGACTCCACGACATCCCTGCAGAGATCCTTTTGGATTGAGGACCCCAGTTTGTGTCCCATGTGTGGCAGGAGTTTTCATTGGAGCTTGGAGCCCGTGTTGCCCTCAGCTCTGATTTTCATCCCCAGACCAACAGACAGTGTGAGGGGATGAACCAGGAGCTGGGGGCCATGCTCCGGTGTGTCTGCTCCTCTAACCCCACTGGATGGAGTTCCCAGCTGCCGTGGATCGAATACACCCACAACTCACACACATCCTCCTCCACAGGTCAGTCCCCCTTTGAAATTTACCTTGGTTATCAGCCTCCTCTGTTTCCATCTGACTCTGGTTTCCCAGTCACGGCTTCCCAGTTCGTCCGCAGAGAAAGACGCACCTGGACCCAGACTCGTGCTGCCCTCCAGTGTACCGCTGACCGCAATCACGACACACTGATCGGCACAGACGGTGCCAGAAGAGTATGAGTAAGAAACTGAGTTAAGGTTAAGATGTGGGTGAGGGGCAGGTTAAAGAGCAAGAGGTTGGAGGTTAAATGTCGGTTAAATGTGCATTTTACCTCGACAGTCGGAAAACAACGCTCTAGCACAATGTGTGGCCTCCCGACACGCTGGGGCTCCCAACACATCCGAAACAAACGCTTGGTCACCCATCGTCATTTTTCGATGCTTCGGGTGTGAGAAAGTGTTGCAGAGGGAGATGTAGGACCATATCAAACACGGACATCATGGCATAAACAAGTGCTTCACAAGGGCACAGCAGTCCATGTGGTGGCCAGAATTGACAAGAGACATCACAGAGCTAGTGGAGAGATGTGAGGTGTGCTGCCAGCACTCAAACTACCACACCTGGCCACTGCTGAACACCCCTCTGCTAGCTCGACTCTGGCAACGAGTGGCTGCAGCCCCTTTTCAGCGGGACAATAGTCCCTACTTAGTGGTGTTAGACTATTTCTCAAGATATATTGAAGTAGCTAAGTTCCTGATGTTGAACACTGCTTCCATGGTTGCAAGACTGAAAGTCATATTTTCCAGATTCTTGAAGTACTGGTAACTGACAACGGGCCACAGTTAGCCTCTTATGGGTTTGCAGCATTTGCTCAGGAGCACGATTTTGAACATGTCGTTAGTAGCCCCAGATCCCCACAGAGCAACGGTGAGGCGGAAGCGGCGAGGGAAGAACCAAGATCTTCAACGGGCCCTTTTGGCTTATAGAACAACTTCGCTAGCTCGTGGGGTTTCCCGGGCAGAACTCCTCATAGGGAGAAGGTAGAGATCTACAGTTCCAGTCCTTCATTTGACTCTCAGACCAAAGTGGCCAGACCTTCTAGCTTTTAAAAGAAAAGACACGAGAGTGAAAGAGAAACAACAGAAAGACTATGGTGCGAGACGCAGAGTGAGAGAGCTGCCTACACTTGAAGCAGGTCAGAGCGAATGGATCCGGTCAGCATAAACAACTGGAACAGTTCAAGCACCTGCGCTGACTCCAAGATCAGATGAGGTGGAAACGGAGTTGGGGACCCCCAGAAGACATTGGGCTGAGCTCATCACCCTTCCTTTGCCAGAGAGGTCTGACCAGGACTCGGCCCAGGCTGACTCGAAAGTGACTGTGACCAGATCGAGAAGATGCAGAAGACAAATCCACGGCGGGTCTTGGGTGAGTACAGACTATCGAAAGGATCAATCATATGAGATGGTAGTGGGAACACTACTGAAGAGGACCTGAGGGTCTCCATTGCATTTCAGTCTTCATGAACAGCCGAGGATAAGCAGTCAGAAAACAGAGATAACGTTATGCAGCCTGAGTGGTTGTAAGGACTGTGGCTCGTCCACAACTGACAATAAAACAGGTCTGTAAGAAATAAGAATTATAAAACCACACAGCTAGCAGCACAGGTTAGTTACTGCGGTATTGTGAAATTAAAGTAAATCTCAAAGCTTGAGACTGTCATTGTCATATTGTTGTGTTTGGTTTGGATTCAAACACAGGAGAGAAGGCACAGGATGCCTCGGTCTATTCTACACAGAGCAGAAGTCTGGCAGAGGCAGAGAGCACCATGAGGGGCGGGACTAGCCAGCTCAAAAATAACCAATCAGAAAAAAGGCAGAAATGACAACTGTAGTTATTTAGCTGTAGTGAAAGATGGCGTCAGACGACAGCGCAAACATCTTTCTTTAGAAGAAAGGCTTTTAGCTCTTCTACTTGTGGTTTTAAAGACACGCCCAAGTCATTTAGACCAGAGAGCCGCAGCAAACTTCGCTTCATACGCCATGTTTATGAGAAACTGAGCATCGCCATGTGTGACGTATGCTACTCAGCGCTGATTGGCTTGGTTAGAACTATCAGGGGGTGGAGTTATTTCAACAGGAGAGTTCCCAGACCCAAAGCGCGGGGCTGGCTGGCCAGGCTATAGGATACAGGCTGGCAGGTTTAAAATGAACTGTTTTATATGACCAACATATACAAATAAAGGTTAATATGAATAATGTTCATTTGGCAATGTGGCAGGACAAGGATCTGACACAGACAGAGGGTTTAAATACATAAGCTCATCAGGGAAACAGGTGGGGAGGGTAACGAGGGACAGGTGAGATCAATTAACAATTACCAAGGGAGGACAAGATACAAGGCAGCAGGGGCAACAAAAACAGTCATAAAACTTACCACAGTCATACATGCGGTTGAGTCTGGTGATGTCCACTTCACTGAAGTCCAGCCGCTGACCAATAACAGTGTTAAAGTACGGTGTGGTGGTTGTTATGGTTGGGGTGGTTTCATCCTTGTTGAAGGACAGGGGTCTGTAGTGCATGATGGACTCGTAGTCATACGGAGTGTTCAGGTCAGTGATGAAGTCATCCTCATACTTATTAAAATTGTGCTCCTTCCCTTTGGAGACAAACATTAACTCAGCATGAGAGTAAACAAACACAGGACATCTATTATTAAACCTGTCATAGAGTGTGTGTGTGTGCGAGTGTGAGTGTGCGTGTGCGTGCATGCGTGTGTGCATGTGTGTGTGTGTGTGTGCGTGTGCGTTAGTGCTTGCAGCGCATGTGCGTGAACAACGCAGCAGGACATATCGAGCTCAAGCCCCAGATGTTTCTGACGAGCCCTAAATTAACCGGAAAAAACGAGACACCCCAAGGCACTCTCAAATGGAAAAAGGTAAAAAGCCTTTGATGTAACGGCTTGGTCACATTTGGCCTTTTTAAAACTCCAACGCGTTTCGGCGAATGTAGCCTTCGTCAGGGAGTCCAACAGTTCTCAGCGGTAAGGAGACGTTCTTAACCAACACACACCAATCAGAAAGCTCCACATAGCAGATGTGCTAGACAGGTGACAAGTGTCAACAATCACCAGCAGGTGTCATCCTTACTAAACTGAAAGAAACAGACATAGTAAATAAATTACACCAAATATCATACATCATATACAAACAGTTAAAATGCACCAATAGAAGAGCGAAAGGGACAAGAATAACGCCAAAACGTCAAACTGACTAAACCCGTCTCTAAAGTCTAGGTCTTCATTAATGCCTGGATGTCTAGTAGCAGTTGAAACATCCAAAAAGTCTCCTTCTGATTTAGCGGTCTCTGCCTGTCCCCATGTCTCAAAGACTGTGGGACATGATCAGTACCACAAGCCTGTAAAGTGGACGAGTCACTGTTGTGATGTTCCATGAAGCGTCTTGCCATTGGGTAGTTAGTGTTACCTGTGCGAATAGCATATTTGTGTTCGGCCAGTCCATCTTGTAGTCATCGTTTGGTTCTGCCAACATAAAATACTTTGCACACAGGACACTCTAGTCTATAAATAACAAATATTTAAATAACTGATTATTGCTTAGAGAATATCGATAATAATGAGCTAATTGGTTCTATATTTCTTGATTTAAGTGCGGCTTTTGATGTTTTAGATCATGATATTTTATTACAAAAACAAACACTATGGATTTCATACATCTGCTCTTAACTGGACTAAAAGTTATCTTACTGACAGAGAATATCAATTTTATTTCAATGGCAGTTTTTCTGAAAAGGGTCTGATGGAATGTGGTGTTCCACAGGGAAGTTGTTTGGGACCACTTTTGTTTTCTATTTTTTTTTTATGATTTTCCGTGGGTGCTGCAACATGCGACTACAGCAGTATATGCAGATGATATTACTGTTTTAGCGTCAGCACATACGGAGAGTGCATTGAATGAAATATTAAATGAAGAGTTAAGAACAGTCGAGCAGTGGATAACTGCTAACAAATTAGTGATTAATGCAGGAAAAACTAAATGCATGGTAGTTGGCTCCAAACATACTTTACAGACGATGCCAAAGTTACATTTAACCCTGAGTAACAACATAATAGAACAACTAGAAGAAGTAAAATTACTAGGAGTTATAGTTGATTATAAATTATCATGGACAAGCCAGATTAATTATGTTTTACGCAAAATGGGGAGAGGTATTGGCATAATTAAATTTTGTTGCAAATTTATACCACAATATTTACTTAAATGCCTTGTTCAATCATTAGTGCTTTCTTGTGTAGATCAAGCATCTGTTATTTGGTCCAGTACAAGTGAAAATAATTTGCATAAGCTACAAGTTGCACAAAATAAAGCTGCTCGTATTGTTTTAGGCTGCCCTTACAGAACGAATGTGGGAACCATGCATGAAAAACTTGCTTGCTTGATGTGAAGAGTAGATTGAAGTATTTCTTGGTAACAACTGTGAGGAAAATAATAATTACAAAAACACCAAAAATTATACATAGCAAATGATTGTTTTTTTCAGATAATCATACTTATAATACACGACAGATAAATGAGATGAAATGTGTTTTACCACACAGTAGAACAAATCAAATTCAACCATCTTTTCACTATAAAGC